ACACTCAGTTTAAAATGGATGGTGATGTTCAGTATGTAATAATTAAGTCACAAACAAATACCTCTAAGTACAGTTTGCTTTATAAAGCTTTAAATCAAACCAAGTATAAGTTACACAGACAATTCTATTCAGTGTCATCTTTTTATACTTCCATACACCCTTGTCAATAAAATAGCAGTGACGTGAGAATAAATGATTCATAAGGCATTTACAACTTCTTGTCTCATGTAATTTATCTTTATAATTTTAAATTGCTAAAGAATCCCAAAGATATTTTCTCACTAAAGTATTTTGAAATCATCCATATTTTATTAAGTTTCAAGGACAACGCCTCACACTCATACCCATATACCCTCACACTTGAAATTAAGTAACCATTAAAATTGCTGTCATAATCTTATACCTATAAGGGGAAAAAATAATCCTATATCAGAAAGTTACGTTTAGCAAACCACTCATCTTTTTTTACCTGTCACACAATAACTGGTGATTATAAAGAGTTGAAGCTGTCTATTTTAACTTCTCTAAACAATGGAATACCACTCTGAGTTTTCATTGTTCAGTCTGTCTTTTTTAAATGTCCTTTTTCTAGCTTTACTGTACATATTTTTTAAAAAGGCATGAGTATCTTTCAAGTTATTACACTAATTTCTTACATTATTCCCAAAATAAAAAACTTGATTTAGCCAAATATTAAATTATTGATATTACAAATCTGTTAATCTATAGCACATTTATTTGTGTAATTTTAAAATTCACTTTCATTTGATTGACTGTTTTAATCTTCCTTAACTAGTGAGTCACTGAAAACAAATGGTGCATTCCTAATACTATAAATATGAAAAATAGGAAGCACTTTGGGACTGCAGGGGAATACATTAAACTCAGTCCGTTTTCTAGTTAACATATTCCCATTCTGTTTGTGTAGAAACCCACAGCATTGAAAAGACAGATCACAAATTCATGACCTCACAGAAACAAGGTCCTGAGACTATGTGCTGACAGCAGAAATTGGCCCAAATCTCTAACCATTTCCCGTAAAGGACTCCGGCTGGCTGGTGCCATCCAGGTGCGGCATAGTCTGAATGAAGGGAACATCCAGTTTCACTCATCTGTCAGTGGAGTGGATTATTTCTTGAAAGACTGAGATTGGCTGCTTGGGATCAGAGCACCATCCATCTTACAGTGTAGGGGATGATGGTAAAGCTGCCTATAAGAGCCTGGAGAGAGGGAGACCAGCCATTCTTAAGTAGGTGAGGAGGCAACTGCAAAGCCTTCACTCCATCCAGGGCTCTGAGTGAAAGATGCGTCATTTTTCACATTTCCCAGATACTTGATATGCACATGGTGTCTGCCAGCTCCTACTTTATGAAAGAGGCGATTTTTCAAGCTTAGGCAAATGTGGCAAAGCTCAGGGTCTGCTGGTGTCTCATTTTTTCTCATCATGTCACTTGTTTTAACCGATTTGAGAAAATGAGATTATGTTTTTCCTTTTTGCTCATTTATCCAGCTATTTATTTATTTATTTGCTCATTGAAGGAGGGGATTGTCACAGATAACTGGCCCTGATTTCTCTCTTGTTTTCATACACATTTCATTAGTGTCCCTGAAGATTTAAGACCCATGAAGGGAAACATCACAACTCTCATCACAGGAAGCATACATTTTCCCTTAAAATCAAGACCGAAGATTGCATTAAAGGAGATTGTATTTCTGACTGAAATAATGTAGAATATTGCTGTGTCAAAGATCTATGACTTTAATCTTTGCAGCTATTGTTGAAAACCCAAGGAAGTTGAATAAACCTAATACATAGAAACATTGGACTTTAGTTTAATATTATTTTCATCTTTCTGCATCTAGAAGGGAGTATTTATAGTTTCTTCATTTCATCAATGAATCTGAAATAGGTCTCAAATGTATAAGTACTTGGGGTGAAATTGGTTTCAGTGCTGCAGTTTCTTGGAGTATTAGAAGTACAGATGAACCATGAACTGACGATAATAAGCAATTACTAAGAGTAAACAATGAAAATAAATACTGAGTTTAATTGCAGAGAGAACTTATGTGTTTCCCATTTTAAAATTACTGTATTTTGATAACAAGCCCCACAAAGACATGTTTACTTGTTACATAAACACAACCCTTCACCAAAAACAAAATCTAATATATTAATCAATTAATTGAGAGACAGTCTATGTGAAAACTCATTGCAAACCATGCCATATTTCTTGACTGTATGCATAGGGCACAAAATAAGACAGGTGGCATTTGGTGGTATATTCTAGCCAGGTACCACATTGTTAAATTAACAGCAGGAGTAAAAACAATATTGTTATCAGTAAGGATAATTAGCTGTGTGAACAGCAAGACATCACTAATTCAACATCTATGACATGCACGTTTGTAGTCTATTAAGTGGTGAAACTGTGTTTGTTGCTCAGTCGTATCTGACTCTTTGTGACCTCACTGACTGCAACCCGCCAGGAGCTCTGCCCGTGAAATTCTCTAGGCAAGAATACTGGAGTGGGTACCCATTCTCTTCTTCAGGGTATCTTCCCAACTCATGAGTCCAACCCTGGTCTCCTACATTACAGGTGGATTCTTTACCATCTGAGCCACCAGGGAAGCCCCAGGATGTCAGTAATTCCTGATATTTCTGAAGAGTATTATAGTTTATAAAGTACTTCTGTGAAGATTATTTTATTTACACTCCCCACAACATCCCTAAATGAGAAATTGGGCCCAGAGAAGAAACGTGACTTGCCCAGGGTCATGTCACTAATGTTAAGTGACAGATGCAAAGACTCAGACATGACTGAGAGCACCTGTGAGCACTTACGCGCACGCGCGTGCGCACACTCACATGCACATGCACATGTACTGATGGTCTGGCCTGAGTTCTGTCATCCCCACACTTCACCCCTCACCAGTTCTGCCATAGACACCTTTCGGAATGCACCTCAAATGAGTCCCTGTACTGACATAACTGGAAAGTTTTCTTGAATTACATGAAGGTTCTCACAAAGCTTCAAAAAGGTTACATGGTAAGATTGTTCTCTGCACTTTGAGGCATTATTTCCTCTTTGGGAAACAGGCTCTGGAGATGGAATCAGACCGAAGTCTCCAATGACAGATATTAGCTGTGTGAACTGAAATCACCCAGACCCTCAGAACTTCAGTCTCCTGAGCAACACGGTGGGAAATCACACATACCTGAATAAGAATTAAGCCAAGCAACGTGAATTAACCTTCAGATTCTGTCTAAAACACTCACATGTGCTGTTTCTATTATGCATGCTCATCGTTAAGTATTACCATGACTAGAAATTTCTCACGTTATTTGTATGACTGTGTAACAACTCAAAGACGTGTTTTTGCCAGAGCAGATAGGTAATCTACTGATTGGAGGTAACCTGGGGATTCCAAGACCCACGTTTGTTTTTCCTCCAGCTCCGCACTGATGTCTCGGACTCTGGCAGTGGTAGATCCAGTCTCAGAACACACGCGGAGCAGAAACACCAGCGCGCAGCATCCGCAAAGCCGTTTCCATACCCACCTGCGGGGGCACCAACGCCCCCTCGCCGTCCCTCCCGGACCCAGGGCGTGGAGAAAGGGCAACTGGAACCCAGAGGCAACCCGAGGCCTCTGCCCCAAGCTAAGGCCCCGCCAAACCCCTCCTCTCGGGGCGGCCCAAGTTGCAGCATTCAGCAGGCTGGCGCGCTCGCCCCGCAGCCGGCACGGGAGAACCTGGGCGGCAACAGCGCTCTTTCGATCCCGCCCCCAGCCAGGAAGCAGAGCCCCGGAAAGCAGCAAGCAGCGCCCTGGGAGGCGTTGCTGGAAGTGAGTGGCGAAGAGCCCAGGATGGGTGCCCAGGCCGGCTGCAGAGGCAGAGAAAGGCAAAGACATAGACGCTGGAGCACGCAGCTGCAGGAAGCCGGGCGGATGGGGAAAAGCCAGAGAGGGATTTGGAAGGGAAGGAGTGTGTGTGGAAAGCGGGCAGTGCTAGAGAACTAAGGATCCGGAGCTTGAGCGCGCAACTGGTCCCCAGAGCCCGGACCTGGATATCCGGTGGGAGGGGGAGGGGAAGGGGTTCGCTGAAGGTGCAGGAATAAGTTCAAGGGCTGAAGCTAAGCAGAAAATGGAAGGCAACCTTTGCGAGAACCAGGATGGGTGAGGACAGTCGAGCTGAGGGAACAGTAATGAGAAAGCTGGAGCGGCAAAGAAGGAGAGAAAAACACAGATTGAAGAGTGAGACCATGGAAGGGTGAGAAATATATTCTGAAAAGAAAAACGAAGAAAGTAAAATGCATCTGGAACTTAAAATTCGATATGGCGGGGTGGGGGGGGGGGGGAGTCACGCTAGAGAGAACTTGTCCCCAATACTGCCAAGAGAGATAGGGGAAAAAAAAAAAAGCACCAAGCGTACCGGAAGAACAGAAAGTGAAGGAGGGGAGAAAAGAGAGGAGACAAACCAGACAAGAAATAGTAAGTTGCTGTTTAATTTCTTTTTCATTGACAAACTACTTCCAAAGTTAATTTTGGCACTAACATGCGCACAAAATCCTTAACCACATACACATCAAAATTATGGTATCTATGCTACAGACAAATGCAGCCCAGGATCATGGACACACTTTCTAGATTGCAAATATCGTATTTTGCCTCTAAAAAATTTTCAAGTCTTGAAAGTTATCCCACCTTTTGCAGAACATTTCACTATTGGCCAAGGTATCCACAAACAAGAGACTACTTTTTGCACCAAGGAATGGTGGGACTCCTAGACAGAATCACGTTTTCCGAACAGTTATTGGAAATACATCCATGGCATTTTAGTATCCCCCACTCTCTCCATAGCATCCAGCCAACAGTAAGTCTTGGAATTCCGAGGCAAGCTGCCCACACTGTAGCACTTTCTGTCACTTGCCTTCAACCATCTGTTAGAGGATCACAGTGAGGCTGGAGATTGGAGGCTACTGTGGAACCAGCCTCCAACTTACCTGGTCGGTGCAGGTGATGCTGCTGGAAAGTGTGCTGAAGGGATCCATGGCAGAGCAGCACCGCGCAAGCACTTATCCACAAATACAGGACCCAGGACATCGCAGAGACCATTGCCATTCTCTAAAGAGAACATTAGAAAGGAAGAATTACCCCCGGCTTTAAGCCCCCAACTGTCAGTCCCACTGATGAGAGAGGGGGGGTCTCAGATGTCATGTCCCTTTGCTACTTTGTTGGCTAGAATTAATGACCTGACAGAGGTCATGGCATGAAGTGAGATTGAGAGAAATCACTCTCCACGAGATCATGAATCCATTTTTGAAATTCTGCAAAACCAAACTCTTAGGATAGCTGAAATACAGAAATAAAGTTTTTGACTATCTGTTAGGCAGTTTGAAACCATATACCCTGACTAAACATCCTGTTTTACACAATTATCTTTAAGCTATAGTTATTCCAGGCATTGAAAGGCTGCATGCTCCTGTTCATTTTAACTTCATTGCAAGTCTGACATAAGCCTGGAAGGAAAGAGTGGATTCTTTTTTTTTTTTTTTTTTCAATTCTACAGTCATGAATTTTTAATTCCAGTGCTGTCTTCTAAACTAAGAAATCATTTCTCAGAGGCATGTTGTAATATCCTGAAAGAACTGGTGTTTTTGGCTGGACTTAAAATCAGAAGGAATTGTCTTCAGCCAAAATGAGTTTCAGATATAAGATCTAAGATCTGTGCCTCTCTCCTAAAGCAAACCATAATTTAGAATATTGCTTTGCCTCCTAAGATCTTATTGTGGCATTTGTTGAGTGTTGATGAATATGCATATACAGGTGGTGTCTGTATTTATGGATGAACATCCATCCACCTTTTCTCAGGCGCTGAAACTTTGACAGTCATCTCAGCAGCTATGAGAATCTTAGGAGGTACAAAAGCTCAACTGCGCTGCATATTGTCCAATTTCTCAAACAACACCTTATGCTGCATTTCATATTTGCCAAATTAATCAAACTTGAAGCATCGTCCTTACTCAGACAGTGATACGGAAGCATTTTCTATATAAGAATCCAGTTAAGTATATGCTTTTTTCTTAGAGCTTTGGACCCAATACTGTTTCTTTCTTTTTTTCATCTTTCCACAGTCAAACCATTTACTTCAAGTATTTAAACTGTACATTTAAAGCCTCCTAGTGACCTCCCAGTGTGGCTTCTTTATTCGTGGAAACTGGCACTCTTTCAAAAGCTGTGATGTTCAGCAAGCAAAATATATACATTATACCTGTGTGTATGTGTGTATGTATACAGACATAATACAAGATAATTTGTGGATTTTAGGAGAGAGAGACTTAATCTTTAAGAAGGGTTTTAAAATTATAATAGACAAATGATGACTGACAACCGTAATTAAGTGCAAAGTAGGAAAACATTATGTTCAACAGCATGATGCCTTTCATTCCCTGGTCTGTGATTCACATGGACCATTCACTTTATAATTAGTTTCACAGCCCACTGTTTACTTTTGTGTACAACAGATTTAGCCTCATTGTCTTCAGAACTATCAGTGTACCATAGATGCATTCTCTTCAGATAAGAGCAACACCCCTCCTATGAATTCTGAAATGAATGCATCTGGGTGCCTGCAAATTATAGAAAGATAAAATAGAGCGGATGGTGGCATGCAATGACTGTTTGTGAATTTCAGTTAAAATGTACTAGGAATTCATCTAAACTTGAAAAAACCCTAACAGGATAAAAACTTAACAGTTTTTCAATGACTGCTTTCTCTTCTTCACCCATATAGACCTTAGCACTCAAGATTGCTGTGGTTTGATGTTTGCAATATTTTCCTTCTTTTTTTTTTTCCATTCAACTTTCTTTAATTCTCAACATTACTTCCAAGGCTCCTGCAAATAGCTCTCTTTGCTCACTCCCTTAGCAAGAGGTGATCTCTATGTTAATAGGTGTTTCCCCCCAAAATAATACATTAATCCTTACATAGGTCTCTAGACCTGACTACATAGATTTCAAATCTGCTTTCTGAATCTTAAACCCTTAAAGAGGCTTCTTACCTGAAAAATCCAGCCAAGAGCAGAGTACTCTATTAGTGTTCATTGGAAAGCTCTAACACTTTCTAAAATCCATCTGTGCCACAATTGGAGATTTTTTTTAAAAGAGCTTCCCAATAATCTTCTTTATCAGGATTAAAAAAAAAATATGTTTTTCTCTTCCGATGCTACTTCCACAGTAAAGAAGACATTGGGTTCATTCAGACTGTATTGTCAGAAAAGGAACCAAGGTTTGAGGGCTGGAAACCTTGTCATTTTCACCTTTAAATCATCTCCTGGCGTCACCTCTGCCAGACGAGACCTTTGAATTGATGGTGAGATAATGTGCAGTTTCCTGATGAGAGTCAGTTTTTAGTTAATGACGGACCATCCCCACTCCAGAGCATTCAGGGCAGAGTAAGGCAGCAAAATGTAGGAGCAGGGCTGCTATACGGCGCTGTAAGTAGCAATAGTCTCTTTCAATACATCCCTCCTCTGTAAAGTATCACATGTCTTAAAGTGACATTACCCTCTATTACAGCTACAGTGAATTGTAATACCTGCCCACTAACTATTGAACAACTCAAGCAGCACTTTAACACTGTATTGCCCAGTACTTTCTATTAGAGATTTTACTGATACTGTTCATTTACCAAAAGACGAAAGAGGGAAGGAGAAACAAAAGAAAAAAAGCATTCTGCAAAATACTGATAGTGTTAATGGGTGTTAGCGTTCTAACAGCAAATGGGAAAGTGAAAAATGTAAGCCATTTCTTACCTTTTAAGGTTCTTTTAACCAGTAAGTTAACCCGAAATATTGTTGAGTTTATACAAATTTAAGTCTGTCAATTATTTCAGCAGCTAAATGTGGGAACATGATCTAGCTAGACTACAGTATAGATGTTTATAGGAGTAAGCCTAAAACAAACCTTCTGAGTTTTTTTTAAACATGTTTAATACATAGAAATATATTATTTTCAGCATCTAAGAGTGGGTTTTGACAAAGAAATATGCTCAAGACATTTTATAAAAATTTCCTTCAAATAATATGCTGGGGTGGGAAGAGGAAACACTCAGAAATTCAACATTTTGTTTCCAGTGCTAGGGTTTAGACACTTTCTTCTTTGGAAATACAAATATGATGGTACCTACACATAAATGATGCATATGAAATGACCTAATTTTCACTTACAGATTGCACTGACAATGATTCACTCGAATAAGTCAATCAGTTATCCACTTATAAAGCACCTACTATGTGTTAGATGCTTGGGGACAAGGGGGAAAATAACATTGATGTGATTGCCATTGTCATGCATCACACTGTCTAGTCTTTCTTTCTTTTTTTTTTTATTTTTTAAAATTAAGGTAGTTCTTATAATATTCCGGCTTCAACAACCTCTTCAAGTGCCTCAGAGTACTCTCTGGGCTTTCACAGTCATTGTAAACAAAGTTTGATGTTGCAGTGCATCTTCAGAAGCCATCCTCCTCTCTCTCCATTTACAGAGTGAGACACTGAGAGACCCTTCAAACACATTAGTCTTCATCCCTGGTCCTGCACAGAATAGCTCTTTGGACCCTAACAACTGTTTATTAAAGCTCATCATTAAACAAATTTCAAGGTAACAGTAAATACAAATCTTAGAGTGAAAATAAGTCAAGTGCCAAAGTTCTAGGTGCGATTGTGTATTTCATTTCTATGGTTCATTATTGTTGAGTTGGTGAATATGTATAGTAAGCTCACACCATTCAATCTCAAGACAAAAGTGATTAAAACTACAGTAGCAGTTGTTTTGTCGCTAAGTTATGTCTGACTCTTGCGACTCCATGAATTGCAGTTCACCAAGTTCCTTTGTCCATGAAGTTTTCCAGGTAAGAATATAAGAATGGGTTGATATTTTCTTCTCTGGAGGATCTTCCTGACTCAGGGATCAGACCCACATCTCCTGCCTTGGCAGGCAGATTCTTTATTGCTGAATCACCAGGGAATCCCACAGTAGCAGTAGGTAAGGTGTATTTAAACCCTCACCATGTGCTGATGCTACTCCAAAGTTCGTTGCTTATAAGGTGTAACTTAATCCTTTTTACCAACCCCATAAGATAAGTATCATTATTGTTGTCTTCATTTCATGAATGGGGAACCAGAGGGTGAATAGGGAGATTAAGAAACTTACTCAAGTTATTATAGCTGCTAAGTGATAGAGCGATTCCAATGATCTGAATTAAGAGGCCATCTTCTGAACACTAGGATTAAATACTTCATAGAAAAAACAAAAAAACCTACCCTACAAAATTAGCCATTGTATTTTCTTATTTCTTTACAATACAGTCTTCAAAAATTATTATATATTCATTCAAGACTTACATGCTGAGTATATTCCAGGCATTTGAAGCATAGAAATATGAAAGGCAGTCTTTACCTCATGGTTTTTTGTTTTGTTTTTGCTATGCTAATGTGTGCGTGTCTGACTCTTTGAAACCTTATGGACTGCGGCCCATCAGGCTCCTCTGTTCTTGGGATTCTCTAGGCAAGAATGCTAGAATGGGACTGTTCCCAACCCAGGGATCAAACAAACATCTCTTATGTCTCCTGCATTGGCAGGCATGTTCTTCACCACTAGCGCCACCTGGGAAGCCCTTGCTATGACAATGCATTAAAACTAGAAGGAAAGGGCTTCCCTTGTGGCTCAACTGGTAAAGAATCTGCCTGCAATGTGGGAGACCCAGGTTCAATTCCTAGGTTGGGACCATCCCCTGGAGAAAGGAAAGACTACCCACTCCAGTATTCTGGCCTGGAGAATTCCAAGGGAGTCACAAAGAGTTGGACATGACTCAGCAACTTTTACTTTTCACATTTGCTAATAAAGGCTACCATTTTGAAAACTATACATTATTTTTTTCATTTCTAGGGATTAAACTAAGGTTCAACATCATTTCTTATCTATTATTCAATTTAATAAACTTGAAATACATACTAATGGATTATGTTCAAGACACTCAGATAGGCATTGTTAGAATTTTTTTTAAAAGAGTGGAATAGTGACTTTCCCTTTCAGTCTTAAGTGGCTTCTGTATTTGCATATGA